CAGCGACGAGAAGGACCAAGTCTTCCGCGAAATCATCCTTATACGGCTTCAACTTATGACGGATGTCTTTGGCAACTATTTTGTTCAGAAGCTTTTCGAGCACGGCAATCAGTCGCAGAAGAAGATACTTGCAAATCAAATGAAGGGTCACATCCTTGCACTATCGACGCAAATGTATGGGTGTCGTGTTGTTCAGAAGGTACAATCACTCCCCAACACCTAATCATGCAGTTTATCTTTTATGCTAACAACACTAAATATACAGGCCTTAGAACATATCCTCACCGACCAGCAAGCATCGATGGTGAAGGAGCTTGAAAACCACGTTTTGAAATGTGTTAAAGATCAAAATGGGAATCACGTCATTCAGAAAGCAGTCGAAAGGGTGCCCAGTGTTCATATTCAGTTCATCATCAATGCCTTTAAGGGACAAGTTCACAGATTGGCAGCGCACCCCTACGGTTGTAGAGTCATCCAACGAATGTTGGAACACTGCACAGAACCAGATCGCAGGGCTATCCTTGAAGAACTCCATGCATGCTCGACCAGTCTTATCCCAGATCAATTTGGTAATTACGTGATCCAGCATGTCATCGGAAATGGTGAGGAACATGACAAGGCTAGGATCATATCCATCGTTATCTCACAGCTGCTCGTGTTCTCGAAGCACAAATTTGCCAGTAACGTGGTTGAGAAAAGTATTGAATTTGGTGCAGATGACCAGCGAGCCGAAATTCTACGTCAATTGACAACGCCAAATGATCGAGGAGAGAGCCCACTCCTAGGCCTCATGAGGGATCAATACGGGAATTATGTCATTCGTAAGTTTTACTACCACTTTGGACATGTTTTTGTTTGGCCTTCCGTTTTCTAATATTCCTGGTTCCACAGAGAAAGTTCTCGGTCAACTCAACGGGCTAGAGCGTGAGGCTCTTGTCAAGAAAATTGAGCCACAATTGACTCAGCTTAAGAAATTCAGCTATGGAAAACAGATCGCCGCCATCGAGAAGCTCATCTATGATTCTCACACCACGGACGGCCATAGTGATAGCCTTTCCACCCATCGCAAGACAAGTTCCCGTCTCTCTCTGAGTGAATTGAATACCTCTCCATCCAGTACTGATGATAGTGGAACACCAACATCCCCTTCCCTGGGGACTCAAAGCTCCCGATCAAGCTCTCTTCCAAGCACAACTACTAGCGACGTCGAAGGCCCAATGGACCAACGAAAGCAAAACATTGTTTTCTCCACTGTCACTACTCCAATGTCGGAGTGCAATGAAGGATTACAAGTTCCCGCACTCGAGAACCCAGATCTCAAGTTTGCACATTAGAGTTAAAATCATCTCAACACTTACATCTGACTTCGGGGTTATGATCATTATTATCATTATTCTCCTGATTATCCCGATTATTCTTTTTTCCCTTTCCACCGCACATTTACGATCGCCACATGTTTCGATACCATTTAAATTTTTAATTTATATACCACAGTATAAAACTTCTCACTCCAACCGTTGCGCCTACCTGCATTCAAGTCACCACAAAATCAAAGAAACATAGATCTTCCGTGGTAAAACAATGTATTTCATGAAACGTTGCTCCAATTATGCAGGTTTACTTCTCATGATATGACTGATACCCACCATGCATCGTACCCCGCAATTAGAGCGCGCAGGTATATTATTTTTTCCTCGCAAAGAAACAGAAGCCAAGTGCTTGCTGCTCTCTATACCTCTCTATTCATTCTAATATTTTCGAATATCCCTTTTTTTTCTAGCAAGCTCCTTTTTCCATCCATGGTCTCCCTATCCTACCCTTTCTCTTATTCTTGTTGTTTTATTTCACAGCACACACACTTTTCATCTCTGGTAAATTATCAGCTGTTTAATACATTTGACCTCTTGTTATTTCTCGGGTCTCTGTTTTCTATTTATTTGTTTCTCTTTCAACTTTCTGCTGCAAAGAAAATGAACGAATGAATGACTATTATTTTGTTTTTCCCGTTTTTTTTTTTTTTTCTTTTTCATTTGTTGATTTGAACCTGGGTGTCATGGCCTTGTTCTGTTTGTATTTACAAAATATGTTATAATTTTCTTCTGTGATTTAATTTGTTTTCATTTTCTTTTCCTTTTCTGCATGCAGAATTTTTTTTTCTCGTGATGGCTTTGCTTGCATAATGGGATATAGGGCGAAGCTGATCTTTCCCCCCTTCGTTTTATTCGTTTTATTTCGTTTTATTATTTACTCTTTATTGCTTTATATAGACACATATATATATCTAGCTAACCTAATTTCCCCTCAAATCTGGTGTATGTAGGTGTAGATGTGAAAGACAGCCTTCTGTCACTGTAAATTGATTTCAGAAGCACAATTGATTTCTATGATTGATATATATATATATATATAACTGACTCTTGATGTTGATGAGGGGAAATAGTGTTGTAGCCGTAGAACTTCAGCATAATTAGAAAACAGCTATCAAAAAGTTCTACGCTGGCTGAAGGTTGAGGTGATTTGTTTACCTGTCCTAGTTGAGGACGAGGAACCGCATTCTGTTGACCGAATATAAATGATTTAGACTTTGCAAGAGCCCATTCCGTATATGACTTGTATTTGTTTGCATTTTCTAATTGAGAAGTGTCCTTTCTGGTGCGCAGCAAGAGTTGGACGGAATAAGGTTAGCGCGTTTGCCGCGGTGCCCTGGTCATGTGAAGTACGTAACCTACCTTGTTGGACTGAATCTACCAGCACCGAAAAGATTCTGAATTAGAATGATATAACTAGTCATTTTCATAGTAGTAGTAGTAGAGGATCTGTACATTATGATTATTATTTTATTTGATTTCTCTCACTCTATGTTTTAGAGTGTATAATCAATTGCAAGATAAGAACTCCTTGATATTTTCCAATCAAGAAGGAGGAAAAAAAAAAAAAAAAAAAAAAAAAAAAAAAAAAAAAACAACCTGGATAGGTAGAAGTTATGGAATTTCAAAAAATAAATACATGACTTTTTTTTTGAGTGAAAAATATCTTGTGTTATTTTGCCTTTTCTTTTCTCACCGTCCCCAGGAAAAACACAAAGTAGGGCAGGGATGTGTGTGTGTATAAGTATATATAGACAACGTGAAAATATGGAAAAAGCAAGGAAACATCGCGGGGGCCACGTTCGCTTGTTTCCGTTCCTTCCTGTTGTGAGGAAAATATACAAATCGCGAGTGAGGGGAAATGCTAATGAAAGGAAGAGAAGGTATATAATAAATAGAAAACTCATAAAGAGTTTTCCAGTAAGGAGAAATGGAACAACGAACGCTCCTGCTACCATGACATGTCTTATTTCTCATCTACTTGTCACCCTCTCTTGTAATTTCGAGATACGTAAAACTTTTGTCTGTTTTGGTCAATACCTGGTCAATTTCCCTATATGATACCCTTTTTCGGTGTTTGGATTGCTCTGGAAAGGAGCTTCTACAACTTAGTTATCTTCATTCATATCGGCCTCCCTCATGTCCCATCATCGACTCCATCGCGAAAAGTCCAACTTTGAGAATACGCTGGTATCTGGTTGAGGTGCCCATTCTGAGGAAGTACTAGGCCTTCCTGCAGCATGGGTGGTCATCTCTTCAGGCTGAATTATAGGCTTCGTATTCCGCCGGTGTGACGCATAATATGTGCTCTCACTCGGACCATCGGTAGTGCCCTCCACACCACCAGGTGTCAATGCTGCCGCAGATGCATACGCACGATCCCGTAGCCGCCTAATCTCACGGAGGCGGTTATGCCAAGACGAGAGGTGCTCGCCTGAATCACGACTTGAAACTAGTGAGTAGAAAGAAGCGTTGAGTGCGATGATGCGGACGAAGGCAGCTAGATTCTTGCCGGAGATAACCTTGGGTATTGCAGAGGGGGACAGTTCTGGGAAATCCGACTTTGTCATAACCTTGACGACGTAGAAGGCTCTGCTGAAATCAGGGGTATCGGGGGATATTTGTTCAGAGTCAGGTTTGTGAGTAGGGCTGATTCGGGAAGCGGGGCTGATTACGATATTGACGAAATTGAATTGGGATGGGATGGTATCAAAGTTGAAGGAAAGATTGGAGCGGTTGAAGATGATGTTCACAAAACTGTTGCCGATGTGTCTTTTCTTATTTACGCACTGAGGGTCAGCCTCGAGATTTGTGGGCATCATTGTCGCAACATGATAAATAATTTCTGTCACTCGATCGCGCCATGCGTATGTATATTCGCCATCCGTGTCGCTGTGTAATCCTTGGGTGTTGAATTTAGCATCCTTTATTGAGACCTTTGTTCCAAGGTTTGAGAGGAAATAATCATAGTCTGGACTTCCCCCAACGTTTGCAAGAATTTCAACCTCTTTGGTTTGACCATCGCTGATGTAGATAACACCAATTTTGTGTCCATCTACAATATCATTCCTGTCGAATGAACTAATTGCCCGGCGAGTGAAGTCATCCTCTGGTAGTGGTATAGGCTGCATACTAGTTGGAATTGGCATGGCAGTAGTTGTCATCTGAAGGAGGACATGACTTGGGAAGATCGCCGTCCGCGAAAACCGGTCGTCGCTGAGTGAATGAGATCCAGGGTGAGTTGGTATTTGGTGCGGAAGAACCGGCGCAGTTCGTTGTTGATAAATAGCGTATGTTGTTCCTGACGCTTGTCGCTTCGTAATTTGAGTTAATCCACTCACACCTGCGGTTTCAATTGTAACAATGCTCATTCCAACAACCCAAGATTTCTTGATAACAGGTCCGTCTGAGTCAGAAGGTGGGAATTTCTCAAATGGGATTGTATCTCCCAAGTCTGAGAAGGTTACCCGCTGCATAAAATCGATTAAGACCTGGCTTTGCTCATCAACGACGTCATTCCCGTGTTCGTCCGTGAAGATAAGCCGCTTGGAGATCCAATTCACGTGATTCACTCTATCTTGGAGTTTGAGAGAAAGAAACCAGAATACCATGACATGGTATGTTAAAATGTAAACGTATCTCGAGAGGTGATCAGCATTTGTTGAATCCACAAATTCTGCAGACTGGGTTGAAGCTAATTCTTTCAGCCCTCCACTTAGCCGCGATGGTAACGAACTCGACCTAAAGTTCAAAGAATCGCCGGATTTATATCTCTCCCTCGAGGTTTGAATAAACCGGACACAAATCCCGAATAAGGGCCGAATTTCTTGGTCCCGCAGATTGACATAAACGTCAGGTAATCGAGCTAGCGAAGCCAGAAACTCAAGAATGTGAACAGCAATATTGGATCGAGTGATTATTTTTGACATCTTATCGAGTATGGGGTTTAGAGCCTTGGTAACTGAAAGGGGGATCTCATGGCAGCAAACAGACAAAGCATGTATACAACGACGCGAGGTTCCTTCCCAAGAACCTATACCATGGATGAATGTGAGCACCATTTCATCCTGTTCGCTTTTCGCAAAGTGTTGGTGAAAACTGATTAGCATTGTCAGAGAATCGAGAATGCAAGTAGCAATATCTGCCTTCTTCACACCAGTCGAACCGAGGGGTTCTAGAAAGCTTTCGTTCTTTATTTGCTCACAGAGGACGCTGCGAAGGAGCTTTATTTGAGGGATTGAACTCTGGAAAAGGTCCCTATTCATTAGTTGGGGTCCTAGATGTGCAAGCAGGTAGCTATAAATATCCCAGTCTTTCTCCTGTTGTAATAGTGATATGATCGTTTCCAACCATAAATTTATCTTAAGAGGAATTTTTCGTGCCTCACCCGGCAGATCAGGTGTCTTATTCAAATAGGCAACGGTGTGGGTGCTGGCGAACGGTAGGGGATCTTCAGGCAGGCCCTTTGGCTCTGTATATGTCCAAACGGGTGGAGTCAATTTTAACGAGCGAATTTGGGTGGTTATCCGTACACTGGAGGTGGAAAGTGATCCGGATCCTGTATCTTTCAGAGAAAATCTACCACTCTGATTTAAAGGTAAATTTTCCTCTGGCTTCGTCGTACGCTCTGAGGGAGACTCTTCACTGACACTTGCCCTGGACGAAAGGTCCGTTGTCCGACATAACACAGCAATCAAAAATTCATTCTCAGTAGCGGAAGTCACATATATAGAGCCGGCTGAGTCGCAACGTAGCCGGAAAAGCAATTTGAGAGCAGTTAGCCGCGAGTCAGTCGGCCTCTTTCGTGATTGGGCGATGCCCACCAGCTTCTCATATATAATTCCAGCATTTACTGGTGCGTCCTTCAACGATTTGAGGAATATTCTGACCAAGCCCGTAATCGCAACATTGGACAGTGATGCTTCTGACCCATTCGTAGACGAAACAGGTCTTGATATGGAATGAGAAGGCGATGGAGCTGATATTGGTGATATTTGCTCGACGATGTCCTCATCTTTTGTCATGGGTGAGCCAAGAGTTTCCACTAAAATCGCAAAAGTATCCTTATTGTAGTTGTCCGATGTCTTTACTAAAAATGATACTAATGCATCGAGGAAATGATATGAACGTTCTTCCGTAAATTTAGCAAAGAGGGACTGTAAAAACCCTTCTTTGTGAAATAAGGGGGCGGCGTTATCGGATGTGTAGGCATTTTCAAATGTGCTAAGCGCCTGCATGCGGACATCCGCTTTTTTATCCTGTGGTAAAATGAAATTGTCAACAAGCTCTCGGCAGAAACGAGTCCACTCGGAATGTTCAGGGCAACCAAGTCGTTCAGATTTGCAAAAGTCGAAGTAAAGGCGGGCTTGAGATGGGTTTAAGTGGGAATGCGCCGCAGCGAAGAGATTGCTTGAATCTAATCGCTGTTGCACATCCAATTTTGGCCAAAGAGACTCGATAGTGGTGAGGATACGACAGATATTTGCAGATATATTTAAGTGCAAATCATCAACCGCATTGATCTTTTGGGGTGAATTTTGTCGCATAGCTGGGTCAGGACTCTTGGGTAGCACGGGAGCTTCTAAGACCATTTGAGAACATGTGAGGATTAGGCGAATGAAATCAGACCAAGGATGTTGCAAAGTCGTCGAGGTATATTCTCCCTGTATCATACTCAAGCATACGTCCAAAATATCGGTATTAATACGTCCGTCGTGTCTTTTAGCGGCGCTCAGGAGAGACTCGATAAGCATGTCAAAGGATATGGTTGGCATTCTATTTTGGCCATAGGCCGCAAGCAAATCTCTAAATATATCCACTGCACCACGAGTCACATTGAGATTTCGATCTTGTCGTTCGGATGTTTCTAGAAGGAAAGTATGCAACAAGGAAACCATCTCTGATTGCTTTCGTGATTTCGCCAAATTACGGGCTGCTCGTGATGTAGGGCCAGCCAAAGACTTAACGGATGCATGAATGCTGCACAGCACCTCCAACAGGCCGTTGAAACTTGAGTCGGGAATGTCCGATGTGTGGATTATCGCGTCAAAAACAGAAAGTGAGTTTTTTATATCATTTGCTGCAGTTGTTTGCTTGCAAATAATAAAAATTTGGTCTAGGAGTAGCTCGAGCTCCTCTTTATTTGGAGGGTGGCGCTGCAGAGTAATAATATCAACGACCAATTGAAATAGATCTCCCAAAATGGCCTCACTTAATCCTACACCGTTTTGGCGGGCAGTTTTTGACTTCTTCAATCTCGAACGTGCTGAGGCAACTGCATTATATAGTGGAACTATCCAAGAAGCAATGGTGGGCAAGACCGGTTTATCCGTAAAATCCAACTTCCTCCCATGGTCCGACAATGAGATCAAGGCGTTTACTTGAGCCGGGATGACGTCTGGCGGGAAGGATTGAGAAATGCAATGGAAGAGAATTTGACGGGCAGGCAAAGTAAGATCTTGTCGACGACAAATGGCTTCTAGAAGGTTAGAGCCAGATTTTCGAGCGTCTGCCGAGCTAGAACAGTCGATAAGATAGCTGCCCGCTTCCCAAAGAGATAAGGCCTGTTCCGCATTGAAGTAGTGTAAGGAACGAGCAGCAGTTTCTGCTACCTCGAGAGCGCTGGCAATTGGATATTCATGCGAAATCCCTTTTTGCAATGTCTCGTAATTTGGGGGTTCTTGAGCGTCTGGAACGGTTGCTGGCAACCCACCCCCACGATGCAACGACTCGAAACCGAATGTGACTCGACTACCCCTCCGGCCTTCCATCTCCAGTGGCAAGGCTTCACCAATGCTGTTTCCATCCGGTATGGGCGATTGCGATTTTGAACGGCCACTTGCTAATGTCTTGAAGACATCTGCAAAAGCTGACGAAGACGATTTATGTTGCGGGGAAGGAGCATCCCCAGAAGGCATACGTCCAACTGGACGAGTGGATCACCGATTTAAAAGCCGGGAGAACAGCCGGAGGGCTATGAAGCTGCAACACAGATATAAGTTGATCTTAGCATAGGAGAAATAGTGAAAGACACTGACGGATCCAGGCTGAGTGATGAGAGAGCCAAGAGTCGCCAGCACATCAAGATATAGGCTGGAGGCGGGGTCGAGAAAATCAATAAGACTAAAAAACTCAAAAAGGCGGAGAGAGCCCTTACACAGATATACCTAACACACATGAAACAGGGAACAGGTAGCCCTACGATAGTTTCTGGCCAGCGAGAAAAGTTGTTATATTTGGTAGGAACTGTGATAGCGAATAGATGAGCCTTTGGGTGGATATGAAGACAGCGACGCGGGAACGAAACGTCGCCTGGAAAAGAATAGAAAACGCCCAAGCAGGTGTGAGTAGAGGTACATCACAAAGGAGAGACAACGGTCATACAGCTGATGGAGTCGGGAGGAGTGTCCGGGGGAAGAGGGAGGGGGAAGAAGAGGAGAAGTGAAGATGGCGATCGTGAGGTTGGACCAGCAGTAAATCCGGGGAAATGTTTGGATCATTTGACTGCTTCAGCCTCCACGCCAAGATACGCTGAGGTGAGCTTGCCCGATTGAGCTCGGATTATATTTATACCGTGGGCAGCGGCAGATGGGGCTCACCGCCTTTAATTGCCCCCCTTGAGGGCTGACATAAGCCAAACAAGTTGCCAAAAGCGGGACAGAGAGCAACAAGAAATTGCATCAACTTGGGAGACATAGGGCGTTGGTGTGAGGAGAAAAATAGAAATTCTTCTTGTTCCAAGATTGCCCGCTAACGAAATATCTACATGAAACTGTCTTGGACGTTCTATTACATTTTCCCTATCCCTATCTAATACGAATCACTCCTCCACTCATTTGCGTTTCCCGGCTGGAGCTCTGCTCAACTCCGCAGTCATGGCTGGTAACATAGGATCTCTTTCGCAACTTCTTGAAGCAAGCTTGGAGCCAGGACAGCACAAACAAGGTAAGATCTATATAACCAGATGTTAGATATGCAATGTGTTCACCACTTAATATTCCCCAATTACAGCTGAGGCTACCCTTCGGCAGGAGGAGGGGAAGCCTGGCTTTTCCATCCTTCTGCTTCAGCTCACTGCTACCGATTCCATTCCCTATAATACCCGTTTAGCGAGCGCACTATGCTTCAAGAATTTTATCAAGCGCAATTGGACCGATGAGGATGGCAATTATAAGCTTCCGCTCGACGAAGTAGCCACAATCAAGCAGGAACTGATCGCTTTGATGATCTCTGTGCCTGCGGGCATCCAGCCTCAATTGGGCGAAGCCGTGAGCGTAATAGCTGATAGTGACTTCTGGGAAAGATGGGACACTCTTGTGGATGTATGAAAGCAAATCCATTCTTCTGAACAAAACATTGGGGAGAAATCGCAGCATGCTTACAAGATGTGACAGGATCTTGTTTCGAAATTTTCGCCTGATAATCCTATTGTGAATATTGGTGTCTTACAGGTGGCCCACTCTATATTCAAAAGATGGAGACCTCTAATCCGGTCGGATGACTTGTATATTGAGATCAACCATGTTTTGGGGAAATTTGGGAATCCCTACCTCTCTCTTTTTGAGGTATTACCTATTGCATTTCTATATTTCTTCTACAACTGTTCGTGCAAATGCTGATTTTTTCATATCACCCCCAAGTCGCTTGATACCTTCCTTGAGCAAAATAAATCCAATAAACAAAAGCTCACACAGGGGTTCACACAACTCAATTTGATGATAAAGTTGCTATACGATCTATCTTCGCATGATTTACCGCCAATGTTTGAGGATCATCTTTCGGCACTTGCCACACTCCTGCTCAAGTACTTGGTATACGACAATACGCTACTCCATACGGATGATGAGTCAGAGTCAGGGCAATTGGAGTTTGTAAAAGCTGGCATCTTCGAGGTTTTGATGCTCTATGTACAAAAGTATATCGATGTGTTTGGAAGTCATGTTCAACAGTTTATCGGGAGCTCCTGGAACCTTCTCACGACGATTGGACAAGACACAAAATATGACATATTAGTTTCTCGAGCTCTCCAGTTTTTGACTTCTGTTGCGAGATTTCCAGAACACGCTGTCGCCTTCCAAGATGAGAGTACCCTGAGCCAAGTCACCGAAAAGGTCATCCTTCCCAATATCAGCCTGCGCGACTCTGATATTGAGATGTTTGAAGACGAGCCTATTGAATTCATCCGCAGAGATCTAGAAGGCTCAGATAGTGATACAAGGAGGCGAGCTACTACTGATTTCCTGAGGCAACTCCTTGAAAAATTCGAACAATCTGTCACAAAAGTTGTGACCCAGTATGCTGATCATTACCTGGCGGAATACAACAAAAACCCGTCAGAACATTGGAAAGCGAAGGATACTGCAGTCTACTTATTTTCAGCTATCGCAGCGAAAGGTGTTGCAACCGCCAGCCACGGCGTCACAAGCACCAACAACCTGGTTGATATAACGCATTTCTTTCAAAAGTATTTAGCTACTGACCTAGTTACCGAAAGTGGCGTACAGCCAATTCTTAAAGTGGATGCCATCAAATTCTTATATGCATTCCGCAGTCTGATAACGAAAGATCAGTGGCATGAAGTCTTACCTCTGCTTGTAAAACATCTTGGTGCGTCGGAGTACGTGGTGTACACCTATGCCGCGGTAGCAGTGGAAAGAATTTTATTCCTTACGAACAGCAATGGTCAACCTGTCATCCCACCTAATTCGATTACTCCCTTGGCTGGTGACCTGTTAGAGCATATTTTCCGATTAATCGAGAAGGACCCAGCGGCACCTAAAGTACAAGAGAATGAATTCCTGATGAGATGTGTTATGAGGGTGCTCATCGTTATTAAGGAAGCTGCCATCCCGCTCTCGGACGGAATCTTGCGACACTTCATCACCATCACTCAAATAATGAGCACGAACCCAAGCAATCCGAGGTTTTATTATTACCATTTCGAGGCTCTAGGTGCCTTGATTAGGTGGGTGCAGCAGTCTATCATTTTAGAGAGCATTGTGTCATATCTAACATGTATCGTGGTAGATTCGCGGCGTCGGCACAGCCAGCGAAATTCGAAGAGGCATTATACCCTCCATTCGTCGCTATCTTACAGAACGACGTGCAAGGTGAGCTCATCTTAGTCCCCTCCTTCCCTCCAACAATAACAAAAATTATTAAGACGATTTGTGATTAACCAATACGACCAACAGAGTTTTGTCCCTATATATTCCAGCTACTTGCGGCGCTTCTCGAAGCCAACCCATCTGGGACGCTCCCTGAGTATTATCAAAATCTAATCGCTCCAATACTCATGCCAACCATGTGGGAGTTGAAAGGGAATGCCCCAGCCCTTGTTCGCTTGCTATCATCCATTATCCACAGAGCAGCGGACTGGATTACGAAAAACAATCAAATCGAGCCCGTTCTTGGTATTTTCCAGAAACTCGTCTCCTCAAAAACGAATGAAAGCTATGGTTTTGATCTTCTTGAAAGTGTCATTGCTAATTTTCCTTCGTACGTCCATTCTTTCGTCTTTGTTTCTGCAATCCCTCCCCAGTTGTGGTTATAAATTCCTGACTTGTTTTGCTTTATCCGTTTAGAACACTTCTGGAGAAATATTTTGTTTCCATCATCCAAATCATCCTCACACGCCTTCAAAACTCCAAGACAGAAAACTTCGCTCTCCGCTTTGTTCGATTCTACCACTTTATTTCGGCCAATGATGCCAGAGGCTACAACGCCGATTTTTTTATCCAATTAACGGAAAACATACAATCAGGGTATGGTGACCCTCTTTCCTTATCTCGTCAAAAAAAAAAAAAAAAAAAAAACAGCTAACATTAAACCTCGCTCCTCCCCCAGCGTTTTCACCCCGATTTACCTCAACATAATCCTTCCTGACACTCAAAAACTCGCCCGCCCTCTCGACCGGAAAACTGCCCTAATATCCTATACGAAAACACTTGCGAACTCTGAAGCTTTCGCATCCCGCTATAAGAAGGGATGGGCGTTCACCTGTGAAGCACTACTGGGGATCCTCAGCCAGGCGCCCCTGCCAGCCACTAAGGACGACATCATTGCCGAAAATGACGTTGAGGATATGGCGTTTGGAGTTGGATTTACGAAGCTAAATACCATCCGGCCGACGACTAAGGATCCGTGGCCAGAAATCGTTGGGCCGCAGTACGGTGGGTGGGTTGGGTCATATCTGAAAGAGGCAGATAAGAAGCATGGAGGGAGGATTTCCAACTTTGTGCAGGAGAGATTGAGTCCTCAGGCAAAGGCGGGGATTGCGGCATATCTTAATGGGTGATTATTGTTGTCGGGGGACAGGAAATGCGGAGGACTTTTTAGTGATATGAATTGAATGCTGAGCATTGGGGCAATCTGATCAAGATAAAATTTGGAAGCTAGAAGCTAGAAGCTGAATTGGATGGAAGAGGATTGTCTTTTATTCAGTTTGTCCATCTTGTCATACACGTAGAGTTCTATAGACACTTGGGTCCAAACGGGTGAGATTGAACTTTAAGGGGTCAAATCTCTTCAGCCAGCCGCCAAAGTCTTTCATTGCATAGGGTTGGCAACAGATTTTACCAAATTCGCAGCATCACAGGCTTTTCTCATCCATTGCCTCCAGATTGGTAAGATGGACGACGGAAAGAAAGGAAAGAATGGCCCCTCCGGTTTAATTTAAGTACATCACAAAAGTTCAAAGAAAATAGCTACTCATGAATCATTCAGTTGCTCCCCCATGTTCAGATCTCATCCCTTACCACATCCGTTCAGTCCGCTCAAGCATATGCCGTATACGCCATCCGCCAATCCTCAGGAGAGCAGGGACTGGTCGACCACGTTTAGATTAGATTATCAATTTACACCGGGCACTCCTAAGGCAGTAAGGCAGCAACAGGGCATATCGTTAGCGATATCTGCATCAGTTCCCTGACAAAACAAAACGAACACGAAAACAACAACAGGAGTAAGAAGTTCATCTAAGACGAAGAAGGAGATTATTGTTGTTTTCTTTACTGCTTTGAACGTACCGCACCACACGCGCTGCAAGTCTTCGTCGTGCCACCAGAGTAAGGGGTGCCG